GGTGGTGTATGCCTTTAATCCTCTGGGAGGCAGAGGCAGGCAGATCTATCTCTGTGAGTTCGAGGCCAGCCTGGTCTACCAGAGCTAGTTCCAGGACAGGCTCCAAAACTACAGAGAAACTCTGTCTAAAAACATCAAAAAGATGATTTTAGTGGTCTCTAAGTCAAGTGAAGCTCCATTTCCAGACTATTCATGTTCATTCATTTATCTGTGCTACACAGGGCAAGAAATAAGAAAAGCGCTCTTGGCGCTTCTGTGTTTCATGTCAGGAATTTCTGGCATTACTGAGAGGGTAAGAGAACCCTCTGACAGTCCAGGAAGGACTGTGGGTTGTGACTTGTTACCCTTGTGCCTACAGCTGCACAACATCCAGAGTACAAAGACATAGGCTTTGATATTGCATTGTTTTTCAGAACCCCGAAAGTTTTTTTAAAGGTGATCTAAGCCTTTCTTTCATCTCATAATTAAATATTCTGTAACATCTTTGGGCTGGAGAGATGGCTCGGTGGTTAGGAGGGCCCAAATTTGGTTTCCAGCACCCATTTAGAGGTTCACAACTGCCTATAACTCCAGCTTCAGGGGATCTGATGCCCTCTCCTGGAGTCCGCAGGTGCCAGCAGCACTCATATGTTATATATCTATGTGCAGACGCACAGATATAGATACATAATTAAAAGTAATATCAATCTTGTTTTAGAATCCATATATAAAATCTGCATGCAAAGACAAGATTGTTCAATAACAAGTGTTTAATACCATCTGTAACCAAATTGCCACCATCTCTTGCCATAACCAATGCCCTCAGACACATGACAGATGATCACTGAAAGCCAAAATGAACCAGTAAAAAGGAAAGAAAGAAGCTTTGCTGTCCCAGACAGATCTTCTGACAATGGCTCTAAAAGGCATAGCTGATTTTTGGCCCCGCCAAAATTCTTACGCATGTAGCTTCAAGTATGAAAAGATGGCATTTTCCTTTTCCTTCTCTCTGGTTTTAATATACACCTATTGTAACAAAACCGCGCAGCTCACAATGAACACACTGGTCCAGTGATTCCTCGAATGACTTCTTTCAAGTCTGCACAAGTAGAGGAATGTGCTCAAAATGAGTAGAAAATGGGTTGATTTTAGTGGTAAACAGACTTGTGTGTAATTATAAAAACCTTGGCTGGGTGGTGATAGCCCCAGCATTCAAGAGGCAGAGGCAGGGGGATCTCTGCGAGTTCGAGGCCAGCTAGTCTACAGTGAGTTCCAGGACAGTCAAGGCTACACCAAGAAACCCTGTCTCAGTGGTGGTGGTGGGGGAACCCTTTAGACACGGAAAGAGAAAAGTTTTCTTGATATTAACAGAGGCCTTTCTGAAACTCCTACAATATTTGAATACCTCGTGTAATTAGAAGCTGTGGTTCTGTGGTCAAGATTTATTCCTCCTTTTCTAGTCAGACAACCAGACAGCAGTGTCAGATGAACCCTTTGGGGCACAACTCCACTTTCTTACTCCTTGCTTCGTTCATGTCTGTGAATCAGATAGGAGTTATGTTTAACTAATTACTAAAGTTTCCCTTTTCTGTTTGCTCTCCAAGGAAGACCGAGTTTTCCTTGCACATTTTTCACGAGCATCAAATAGTAGGTGATCTTTCAAGCTTGAACGGCAAGAGTTCTATTGCTGAGGAAGGATTTCTTGTTTCAAACTGTCTGGGTAATGATTTACAGCTATTTTTGGTAATTCACAAAATGACAACTCCACGATTTTTTTTTCTATATGCAGAAAAATTTGCTGTCCCAGCATCCTCAGACCCTGGGAGGTCCATTTCAGTTCCTGGCAGATGGGAGCAAAGGAATGCTCCGGATGGAACAGACCTGTCAATATTATCCTGTGATCCGCATGAATGTTTGATGAGGTTACCCCCAAATGTCTGTGACCTCCTGAGACCTAGAATTTGTGGGAAAGAATAACCTATGAATTGGGTGAAATTATATATTGGGTTTGGACATTCTAAGACTAGACTTGGTAAACTGGACTCTTGACAACCGTTGAGTTCCTATAAAGAAAATTAACAGCACCTTTCAATATCGTCTTCCTATAACCCTTGGTAAATGGATGCTAAAAAGTTTGAAAAGATACAAACAAGGAATAGATATAATTACCTTTTAAAATTACAAATGTTATCAGAAAGTACAGGTGTCGTCGCTGGCTATTGGGAGACATAAGTCGGGGCAGGAGTGAAAAAACAATCAAAGAGGAAAGGAAAGAAAAAGTATATTATTAGGCAAGAAGAAAGAAGGTAGAAAGATGGTTTTTTTGAACGCGAAAAAGAGAAAGTGTAGGTCTAATACACTTCCTATTTGTATCTTTCCTTAAAAATCTTTAATGTGTCTGCATTAGCTACAGGATAAATTCCAGACTCTTGGAGCTGATGTTTGATGAATGCCATGAGCACGCTAGACCACGCCTGTGTCTCTAGTGCACACTCTGATCCAGACCACGCCTGTGTCTCTAATGCACACTCTGATCCAGACCACGCCTGTGTGTCTAGTGCACACTCTGGTCTAGACCACGCCTGTGTCTCTAGTGCACACTCTGATCCAGACCACACCTGTGTGTCTAGTGCACACTCTTGTCTAGACCACGCCTGTGTCTCTAGTGCACACTCTGATCCAGACCATACCTGTGTGTCTAGTGCACACTCTGGTCTAGATCACGC